AACTTTGATATTTTCACTGGTATTAAAATATCAATATAAAAAATCACAGGCGACCATTAGTAACCATGAGATAATAAATTATAGCAAATAATAAAATGAACATAACATAATACAATATGTAAAAAAAAAAAATACAACGGTTATAACCGAAGCATTCGATCCTGGATAACTAAAAAAGAAAGAAAGAAAGAAGGAGGGACATATCGTTAAAAATTTTGTATTCGGTCATAAAATCGGTCACTCAGTCATTTGAAAATAGAAAACTTACTTTTTTTGTGTTTTTAAATTCAACTCTGACTCCATTGGTTTGCATTCACTATTCATGATGTTAAGATATTAATATTCTAAATAATTTATTTGGTAAAAATTTTGTACACCAAAAAAAAAAAAAAAAACTCGCGTCTAGAACATCTTTTTCTACGAATTCCATACAATTTTCGAATAGTGAAGAAATTAACTAGTTCCCGGGTTGTTTGATCCGACTCGAATTTTTTCTCGAGTCGGGACTGTCATTTTTATGACACGAGTCCTAATTCAAAAAACTCGCCAGTCCGGATGATCAGGCGCCCTAACTTTTTTTTTTTGTTTTAGGTTACGCGACTTTAATTTGTAACAAATAAGTAAACCTACAGAAACTTTTTCTACAAAACGAAAAATATTGCGGAGTAAGCAATTATAGGTAAAAAAAAAAAAAAAAAAATTATTGATTATTAAACATTAACTAATACATTTTTTTATAAAGCAACAAGTGTTCCAGTAGAACGAGTTTTTCTGGCGGAATCGATCTGATATCAACCAAAAGATGTATTCTTAAAGCTAATACAATTCGCTTGTAAGTTCTTGAAATTCTAATTAAAAAGATGTAAAAAAATAGGAATAAGGATTAAGGCTCACAAAAATTAAAAAATTTAAAAATAAACTTTATATGACACTTTATTTATTTACCCTTGAAAATTCGAGTCGAATCCGGGTCGAACAATGATCGGGTCGAGTCGAATTCGGGTTCTGTAATTATTAATGGGTTCGAGTTCGAATATGCCTTAAACCCGACCCGACCCGACCCTTACGGAGCACTAAATTTAACTATACAAGCGAATAGATTTTATAAATTAATTTCATAGTATTTTTTGTCTACTCCGCAAGTTTTCAGGAAAGGTTTTAAATGTCGGTTTTTTTTTTGTATTTCATTTTTAGAGACTTAAATTTCCCATATGTTCAAAAAAAAAATAAAAATAAAAAAATAAACACCATATCATATGTATGATTAAATTTTCTGGTATAAGCTTGTACAATTTTTTTTATTATAGGAAGTGAATACTTGGTATCACAAAAATTAAAATTAAATATTTCTTTTAGCATTCGATTTAGAAAATAAAATTTTATTGAAAAATGTATATAATTATGATTAAACGTTGTTGATACAAATTAAGTTCTAAAATAAATATAGCAACAATAGTAAATGATATATTCAAGTTCCATTACAAATCGACAAAAGGAATTAATTGACTTATTTTAATAAAATACTTAAAGGCAAATTTAAATAATTATTTCACTTTGCAAAAGTATTCAGAATGTTCAAAATGAAATTCACGGCCTTAAGAATACTATTTCTAATAATAGACCAAAAAAGTCCAACAGGAACTGACATTTTTAATGCAGCAGTCCTAGATTTTAACACGTCAGCGGATGCTCTTTTTCGCATTTCATTTTCATAACCTTGAATACTAGAAATAAAATCTTCTGATGATGAATTAATTAACGCTTGAGAGAGCAAATCGGCATCTTGAATAGCGTTATTGGTTCCTAATCCAAGTATAGGATTCATTGCATGAACGGCATCTCCTAACAACGTTACTCGACTACTTATCCAATGACTGACGGATGATGGGTTAATGTCTCGATAATTTCTTCGTTGAGTTGGAATATAAGTTTTAAATGGATATTTTTCCAGATCGATTGGAATTGCTTTAGGAGCTAGATCCCATAATTCTAATAAAATTTCGGTCGTCTCGCCTTCTGGTCTTAATTTTCGAATCATCTGTTTGACATGTTCAATAACTGATGCAGAATCATTATCATCAACTTTGATTTTGTCAGATTCAACATCATCTAACTTGGCAGGGTACGAATAATTTATGGTTGCTCTGTAATAAGGCTCATTATAATCGCTATTTTCCTTATAATCGTCGATTGGAATTAGACGAAAGGTAACCAATGACGCGTCGCCGTGTAACCCGAGAGATTTTTGCAGTAAACTATTTCCATGTAACTTTATGATCCTGTCCATAAGGTTCTTAGGCACGGCAACATTTGTATTAACATGAGTTACTCCATAATCGAAAATTTGCAATTCGGGTAATCGCTGTTTTCGTACTAAAACAAACATCAAGAAAATAAAAAAAAAGTTTTATTATACAGTATATTAAAAATGAAATACGAAGTTATAAGCTTATACCTGGAGAATTAATTCCATCTGCGCCAACTAATATGTCGCAAAATTCTTGCGAACCATCATCAAAAGTTACCCAAACACCTTCTTTAGTTTCTTCGTATCCGATACATTTTTTACCCCATTGTACTGAAACTCCGTCTAATAATACGTCTCTAAGCCTATCACGATAAGAAATTATAACTGAAAAATCATCAGGTATCTTTACAATTTCTTGTAAGTTTTGAACTTGTTTAGTTGGTGGCCTTAATAAAAGATTTCCTGCATGGTCAATGATTGAGATTCCATGGAATTCTACATCAGGAAGTGGATCTGGAATGGCTTTTGTAAGATTTGAAGCGACCGAGGATGTTGTGCAATTCAAAAGAGATCGAATTCCACGAGTATTTAACCCGATATGATACCCTTGCCATCGATCTATTTTTAAATAAAATGTTGGTAAAGTTTTAAAAGCAAGTTCAATTACAGATAAAACTTTGTACATTTCTCTTTTACCTTTTGGACTAGATTCCCGCTCGAAGATTTTTACGTCGAATTCTTTCTTATCCTTGTTCTTTATTAATGCATGGTAAAGGGCAAGTCCCCCTGGGCCTGCACCGATAATAATAACTTTAGGAATTTTTGCGTGTTGCATTTTTTTTTTAATTAATACAGAGGTGTTGATCAAGTTTGTATGTATGTTAGATAATAAAAATTTGGTCTTTATCAATTAGCGTGATTTTTTTGATGTTTTATATCGAATTGAAGAAAGACGACAAAGATAACGCGGATTATTTATATATAAAAAATGATGAGAAAATTTTATCAAACGTTCTCATAACCTTTTCTTTTTTTAGAAAAGTGCGTATGCAATTGCCGAAATTTATCCTAAATGTCAATGTTTTTATTTTAAATCTATTCTTGTATGATAATACAACAATGAGAAGTTATGCAAGGCATTGCAATATTTGTTTGTGCAAATCGGCACGGAATTTATCCGGCTAACGATCGGTTTATCGGAGCGAAATTTTAACGAAATTTAACAAACAAATTAGCATAATAAGGATGAATAACGAATAAACAACCCTTTGACTTTTACTATAATGGTTAAGTAGTTTCTTTATCCCGTACTTTACAGATCACCATTATACAAAATAAATAAATTAATTAGATAACGAATAATATATTATAAAAATTTATTTTCGTTGCATTGATTACCAGTAACTTTCTCTTTTATTACAAGTACTAGTTTAATCAAAAAAAGCAAGTCCAGATTTGCAATCATTAAAAAATTATTAGAAAATTTATTTTTCTGAATATTTTTTTTTTTTTTTTAATATCGATGATCCGGAAATTACTGCGCATTCCATAGGTGAACATCACCTGCCACGGAGTTGATTTACATTTTCCCAAAAGAATTCTCGGATCTCATCACTTTTCTGCTTGGAAATTGCGAACCCTCAAATGGAATTCCTGAATGGTATTTCTGCAATATGACATGAAAGTAAGTACTAGCCACATTTGGTGAGAATTCTATCATTCCCTTCAGGAAAAAAATTGACGATTGTTTCTACACGCTTACATTCTCAAATATAAATAAATCCAACTTTTTTTAAATTTTCCTTTAATCACACAATGTCATCCATTCGCAACGAAGTAGTTTATAAAGCATTTAAAAGAGCTTGTGCATTAAATCTACACCCAGACATTGACAAAGAACATCAACTTAGACGTCAAGCGCTACTTGCTGATAATTCCCTTACAGATGAAGAAAAGTATGCAGCGTTAAATATTTTGAATGAAGATACTGAATTTTACAAAGTTACTTTAAACAAAGGATTTAAAAGAATTTGTGAAATCTGCGAACGAGAATGTTTGGCAATAACCTATTGTGAACATTGCGTTCGAAATCACTTAAAAACAAAATTTTCAAGTTGGACATCAGGAAATGATAATATTGATAACTTAATACGGAAATGTCAAATGGAAACGTTTTCTCCTTATAAAGTAGTTGAATGGATTCCATATGGTAACTTGGAAAATGTTAATTATTTTACTAAAGGTGGATGCTCCGAAATTTATAAAGCGGATTGGATTGGTGGAAGATATCATAAATGGAGTAATAGCGAACAACGATTATTAAGAGAAAAGACGCGAAGAGTAATACTTAAAAGTTTACAAAATGTAGAAAGTGCAAATAGAAGTTGGCTTGAAGAGGTATAAAATTGATTATTAGTATTTATATTAAAATTTTCTTAATCTGAATTAATCCAATCCAATAATTTTTGTTCTTAGGCTGAAATTCAACTTAAATTAAGCAGTAAATGTTACGGATTTGTTGAAAGTTTTGGAATTACTCAAGATCCAATAAATAAAGTTTATTACCTTGTAATGATAGCGTTAAACACGGACTTAAGAAATTATTTACAACAAAATCACAACGTACTTACATGGAAAGAGAGATTAGACATAATCATGGTAATTATCGTTGCGGTTCGTCATCTTCATAATGAAGATGCAATTCATAGAGATTTGCACTCTGAAAATATATTATATAAACAAATCTCTAATTCCTGGTATATTAGTGATTTTGGGTTTTGTGGACCTGCTGATAAGCCAATACAAAGTATATATGGAAATCTTCCTTACATCGCACCTGAAGCTATTTCTGATGAAAAAATATATTCTAAAGCATCGGATATTTATAGCATTGGTATGCTTATGTGGGAAATATCATCTGGACAACCACCTTTTGCTGGTATTGATCATGATTTTAATCTTGCAATGAAAATAATAAATGGGATAAGACCCAAAATTGTGTCTAAAACTCCATCAGTAATTAAAGAATTAATGGAACAATGTTGGGATGCTGATCCATTAAAGAGACCTAATATTGATACTCTTGATAATAAATTTGCAGAAATAAGAAGATCATACTATCAAATTGAAAATAACAAACTTGCAATTAATACGAGTATTGATAAAAGCCTTAATGAAAGCTCTAGCTCTATTTACGTGTCATCAAGAAGTGGCTTATATACATTTAAAAATTTGCCTAAGCCGAGAAATGCTACTGAAGGTAAGTTATCAATTTTTTATTATTGTATTTATTTATAAAATTATTAAAACTTGGAAATCATTTTATTTTAATTAACAGAAGAACAATGAGGTAAAGTTCTTAGTTTTAAGTTTAAACTTTCAAAAGTTTATACCTTTGGATTCTTTGCAATATTGATTTTTATTACAAATTTCATGATTTTTCAAAAAAAAAAAAAAAAAAAAAAAAAAATTTGGCGATCAATTAATAAAATTGAACCGACGTGGAAAGTTTTTTTATATAAGGATCAAATAATATTAAAAATTGCAGAGGAGGTCGAATTACACAAAATGTTTATGTATATAGATTTCATATTGATTTATTGGCTGAACGAAATTACTTTGACAGCGTGCTGGTATGAGAATTTTTTTAGAATAATATTGAGCTAAATAATTAAATTTAAGAAATATTTTTATGATGCCGACGTTTTTTACGTTAAAAAAAAGCAATACACAAAATATTAAATTAGCTTATTTTAAAATATATTGAGTTTATATCTTTATATATAAAAAGAAATTCATAATGTTAGTAACTTTTTAAATTGATATAACGGATTAAATGTTTGTCAACTTTCAAAATAAAGATGGTAATGTGTGTTTACCGCTATTTTATATTGGAATTTAAGATTAGAAAAGTGTTCTTGCTTTTGTTTTTATAAATAAATCAAACGATGTTGAGCTTTTTTTTTTAATAAACAATAAAGACAACATTCTTATAGGCCGAATAAACGTTTAACTGAATTTAAAAACGTAACAAAAAAAAAAAAATTTTTAAAAGAAATAAAAATATCACGTGAAATTTATTGTGCTACTAAATGATGTCATTATCTTAAATGGTTCATCATTTAGGTAAACAATCAATGATTTAATAAAGAAAATAGTAAAAAAGACAATTATAAAAAAGAGAAAAAGAGGTGGGATAAACTTTAAGAATGAAAATAGTAAAATTTAATAAGAGAAAAAAGGGTGGGATAAATTATAAGAATGAGAATAGTAAAATGTTTAAACACATGATTAACAATAAAGTGGGGGTAAATTTTACAAATGAAAAATCAGAGAAGGAAATTAAAAAAAGGCATAAAAATGTACGGAAAGAGCATTTCATTTAAAATGAAGCAAATTAAAAATGAGGGACCATTCTATACGGTTCATTTATTTGAGGAATAAGTTGAAAATTAGGCTCCATTGCAACAGGTTTAAAAGGATGAGTCAAAACATTATTATTAAAGGGTACCGCGGTTTGGGCTGAAGGTACATTTTGATTGCCCCTAGATCGAGATAGTTGTTTCATTCTTGAATAAAAGAAATTCTTGACCGTATTCTCAGACCTCAGCAAACCAAATTTCGCTTTTAAATCCAGAATCAATATCTTCCAATGTATGATACCATTTTGTTTTTGATTTGTTGTAATCCATCTGATAACAAACGCCTTTTCTTCGTTTCCTAAAGGATTCATGCACACTAATTCAAGGAAGGATGCAAATTTAACAAAAATTAATTTAAACAATAATATAAAAAAAAGCTAAATTTACTTACGACGCTTATTTAGATGATTAAGATAACTAAATTTCATGATAATAATTAGTGTCTTAATGAAAATGTAGCATAAAAAAATATATTTAGTGATTTATTTACATACCGTTGACGAATTTGGCGCGAAGTATATTGTGGAAGCATTTCATGGATAATTTTATATTTTTTACGAATGTTTTTGGATTTGTCCAACACATTCATGCTATCAGAAATTATTTCGTCACTCTAAAATAAAATTATCTTTATTAGAAGTAAAAAAAAATAATTTTTCTTTTAAAGTATTCATAACTTACTTCTTTATCAAATAATGGCACGCCCATTTTTCAACAATAAAATAAAAAAGAAAATAAAAAATAGAAGATAGATCAAAACACAATTTAAATACAAAAGAAAATAATATGAACAGGTTACAATTAGAGAATTCCTTTCAGATTTGCAATTAAAAGAAAGATATTTTGGCGCTCTTTTATAAGAATTCTACCATCGCAAATAAATTATGTTTGTTTATACACATAAGTATCTTAAATATTTACAATTACATACAATAAAAACGATTTATAGAATATTAAGATGAAAATACGGGTTATCGGTTAAACTATAAAATTAGAATGCAATAAATGCGAACATTCTATATATATCAACCGACAATCAAGATGATTTTTATCAACAAAAATATCTGAAAGATGTGTTCATCTCTATTTTTTTTTCTTTTTTGAAACAAGTTAAAAGATTTACTCGATCTAATTCCGCCATTGCTGCCATTTCCAAAAAAGAAATAGTAAAAGAAAAAAAGGTACTGCGTGATCCGTTAAAATTCAAAATTTGGAATTTCATAAAAAAAAATATATATGTATTTATTTCGTTCGAATGATATTCGAATGACACATTTTCACACGCACGCCTATACGAACAAAATATTATTGATTAGGAATTGGCCACTAACATAAACTCCGGGGATAATATTTAATGTTTACACAACAAATTCTATTCTAGGGGATTATGATCTCCGTTTATTCATTGTCACCA